ACAAACAACCATGGAACCACCAACGGCGAAAAAGAAATCAACGACAGAGTCAACGATTCAATAGCAGAATCTATAGTAATAACGGTATCAACAACCAAAATATAAACATGAATTTCAGAAAAAATTATCAAACTATGACATCACAGGGATACGAAAAAGGAAATTTCTATAACAGCGATAGGAATTTTGAAGAGTATAACATCGATTCAAGAAATTTACAATATAGATTTGCGGAAGAAGAACAAGAATTTAATGTCAGAAATGAATACAGAAGATACAACGATATACAAGATGATTATAGAATAGAGCGGCAGAAGGATTATGAATATACTAATTACGAAGAATCGTATATAAATTGGGAGGAACCATCTTTTAAAAATAATTATTTCGAAGTTAATAATTTTGTAGAAAATAGATCTAAATTTGAAAGAATACATGATTATGATTTCGTAACACCACCAATTCGTTTTAAAGATTCGTCCACAAACCAAAACTCTTTAGAGGATGAAAAACAGTCTGATTATAATGTCTCACCCTCTGTAAATGAACCACAACTTGAAACAGAAAGCGAAAAATCAAGCGAAAAAGAAGAAAACATTACTATTATTAACATCAATAATAGAAAAAATCTGAAAGAAGAAAGAACTCAAGAGCAATTAAGCAGCAAAAATGAAGAAGGAAGAAAATTAGAAGAATTTAGGGATGCAACAATAAATCAAAATGCCAAGCATCCAATAGAAATATCACATAAAGACGAAAATTTTGCAAGGAATGTGACAATTTCTTCTGTCACGTGTGTAAATCAAGAGATATTAGAAGAGGTCCAAACTTTAAACAGAAAATCTGACAACTTTGTATCAATAATTCAAGATTATTCTGAGGAAAAACGGCTACTAATAATAAATGAAGACAATGAGACAGAGAATGTACCAGATGGATTTACAATTGAAATGAAAAGTGATAAACTGGACACGGAAAGTAATGAAAAGATGACGACATTAAACAGTGCCACTCAGCAAAATTTGAGTTTACCAGGGTCAATGTCATTCGTATGGGAAGTCAATTTAGTAAAACCGAAATTAAAAGTAGATAATAAAAGAAAATGGGTTCATAAAATCCAAAAAGAAAGGTCAAATGTGAAAGGTCATTTGAAACAAAAATTAAATGCGTTTTATTTTGAGGAAAATAAAAAATTACGAGACAAAACATGGAGGGAACTAGAAACAAGAGTTAAATCAGAGAGGTTAGGAATAGGTTAGACATAGGTAAACTTAAGCAGGGGGATCATAATGTAATTTTAAGCATGAAATATTTTTAACAATCTGCTTGGGTAAAATATTAAATTTACTATAAAAAAAACCTCGTAAGCTAATTGTAAAATAATCATGAATTTTTTAAGATTATAATTCTTTTCTTATTCTGTTGAAAAATTTTCTATATTCTATTTTATTCTCGTCTAAAGTAGACAAAGTAAGGTTAAAATTGAGAACATTAAATGACAACTAATTCAATATATAACAAAGGATAAAATAGGATATAAAATTAATAGTATAACAAATGAAACAAAAGACTAAAAATTTGTTAATACTTTTCTTGAAAGAAAAAGGTAATCCAAAAAAAAGAATAAGTAATGAGTCAAATACTAACACAGTACAAATTGCTATACTAATTTGGAATAATATTGCATAATCACTTGCTAACAAATAAAGTTTGTCCAAAGTACTAGAATATTAAAGAAACAAATTTTTTTATATAACAAGTTTTAAAATAATGTTTTTCTCTGAATACAGGAAACTTAAAAAAATACCTTTACTAAAAATTGGTACTCAGAAAAATTTAATTTAAAAATAAATAATTACCTGATTAAAATGTTTATTTTTCTACAATTATGTATAAAAATCAACAAAAAGTTATAATATTGTTTTAAACATTTGTATATATGGTTTTTTATTAATATTAACAAAATTAACCAAAAGTTTATTTGAGATGAGTTTCAAAATACCAATACTATGCTATTCTATAAAAAATAAGTATATTATTGGTTAAAATATTTTTAAAATATTATGTTTTATTGATGCTCTGATTAAATTATGCTAAATCGTAGTTTTTAAATAATTCTATTTTTCTCATAACAGCTTAAAACTATTATGGACTAAATAATATTAAAAGGAATGCTTTAAATTTTGAGCATAAATGAAACTATTGTATATTATCAATAACATAAATTAACAAGCTTAACAGTATTAATTTATAAACTTTAATATTAAATAAAATTATTTTTCTTTAAAAAAATCTATTTATTTTTCTCGTTGAAAACTAAAAAAAAAATAATGTCGTTTTGTACTTGCATCTAATGAAAACGAGAAAATTTTTGTAATAACAATTTTACTTTTCTTAAAGTTACTTAACTAATTTTTTGTAGTATTTCTACAAATTCAAGTACATTTAAATTCTATAAAGACTTAAACATTAAAATAAAAATGTATCTTGTTAAAATTTAAAATTCATTCTCTATGAAAAGCTAGTAATGAACGACAGCGCATGAAACAGAGGGAATGAAGTTTTAAAAAAAATGTAATAAAGAAACAGTGTTAGAGAATAATTCAACATTATTTCTTTAAATTTTTGCATTCTGTGGAATTAAAGGAACAAATTTTATATCTTTCAATTTGGTTTGCATCTTGTTCGATACATCTTACTAAACTTTATGAACAAAATAATGTTAAACTAAGACCAAATATATTTTTTCTCAAAATTATAATAAATTCAAATTTTTCTAGCTATGTTATGATATAATAATTCAATGTATACAAAAATTTGCGATTATTTTGATTACGTTTTTAATATCAGAATTATTACTTACAAAATTTAGAAGGAAATAGTAACGGAATTTAGATTTCATTTTATTATGAAAATACAAAAAAAATATCCTAATGTTAAAAAAAAAATAATTTTGTTTTGGTAAAACAACCTTATAAAATCACTACGAATTATAATTTTTCCTAACGAATAAGCAAATCTTGTAAAATAGCAACAAACATTGTAAGCAAAATATTTGTTGAGTTGAAAAAAAATTATATTGGAATTAAATTTAAATATTGTAAAGTTAGGTTATTAAGTTTGTTCAAAGAATAATTTTCATATGTATTCTTCGTTTAAAATTAATAGAAATTGTGTATTTATATACGATTAAAAAAAAATTTAAACAGATGAAATTAAACGTTAACTAAAATTATAAAAACCATAAACATTACCAATAAAATAAAGAAAAGGTCATTTATCTAGAAATAAAACAAAAGTTTCATTTGATAAAATACAATAAAATTAAATTTAAAAAAAGAAACATTTTTTTCTACGCTGCATGTCTAAAAAGTTAAAAATTTTAAATCTAAAAAATGTATTAAATACAAACAAACAATGTGCAAATCAACAACAAAACTTTTTACCGCTGTAAACTAATTCAAATAAAAGCAAACTAAGATACTAAAAAATCTTCCTAAAACAAAAAAAAGAGGAAACGAGTTTTTTTTAAACAAAAAGTTTGCCTTTATTTAAAAGAATCATTTCCAATGTTAACATAAAACAACGAAAATATTTATATTGTAAAAAAAAGGCTGCCAAGGGACGTCAGCCTAATAAAAAGGGGGCAGTAACAACAATTTTATTGTCCTGTCCTATACATAAAAATTTTTCTCTGATCTTAATATAAAAAAATCAATTAAATAAGCATCCACGGGTTTATTTTCTCGCATGTTATAAAATTAGCAAACTACAAAAAGCACTATCAAAATATCAATTATTGAAAATCACTGATATCAGAGAAAGATTTTTTTTTTAAATAAAATACTTATCTTACAGACATTTATGTAAAAATTATATCAAGAACATATTATTTTGTAAAACTCAAAAAAGTTAAATACCATTACAAGAAAGAAGGATACATCGGGACCACGGCACAACCACACACAGTTCTCTTAGCAGCTGACAAGGGACGTCAGCCTAATAAAAGGGGGGCATTTGTTACGTATGACTTCGTAACATTTTTATATTTTTAGTAAAAAACATATTGTATTTAAATGAACTCAATAAGCATTTATTCATGTCGATTTATGAGGTAACAATCACACTTTTAACACATGATGACACTTTGTAACACACATATTACAACATTCAGTAAGGAATTTTGTATTAAGATCTAAATAATGAAATGAAGATTGTGATACTTTATAATGTGCAAAACTGTGTCAAATATTCTTTAAGAGTAAGTAGAATTTACTTACGATATTTCTCAATGTAAAAAGTGGTTCATCCAAGCAACAGAACTTGGGTAAAGACATTCAAACAAATCTGCAAGGTAGCAGATAATCATTAAGTAATAACTTAATAATAAGTAGGTCTTTCCCACCAAAATGTCTTTCAATAAAAAGAATCGACAAAGGGAAATCATGGCAGTTGCCCGTGAATCTTGGCGAAACAAAGTATGTTTGGCCATAGTAGCCGAAGTTAGGCAAAAGTTGCCTTTAAGTCTCACGAAGGGACTCCAGAGATTTTCATTGAGTGATTTAAAAAGAGTAATTGACATAGTATTTTTATATGTGAAAAATATTTAAAAAAAGTTAAAAAGATAATAATAAAATAAATCTTGATATAAGGTTCCAGACACTACAACTCAGTTAAAGTGAGTATACTGAATACGCAAACACAAAAAGAACACATACACAATTCATTATCATAAACGATTGTTTTCAATATCAAATAAAAGTTTGTCATTTAATATTATTTTATTGCTGATTTTACTTAAAAATTAGATTATCCTATTAATAATTTCATTCCTTTCCAAAATACGGTCTCTCACCCGATTGGTTGAAATGATAACCAAGAATGAAAAGGAATCCACTACCTTTAAATAAAATTATTTGTTTCCTTAGAGCATTGACGTTCACTACGGGGTGAAATAATTTAAATATTTAATATTTATTAAATAATAAATAAATTCATTCTTAACAGCTATCGAAACAATTTTTACAAAGTGGAATTTTACATAAATTGCAAATCCAAGTAGTATCTGTTCGATTTTTTTTATCTGAGCACTTTTGGCATCTCAAACGTTTGCGTTTACGCTCATTTTCCGTGGGGATTTTAATCAGCTTGTGAGTATTTGCAACACTTGAATCATTTTTGCTTTCCTCACCATCATCATCATCACCATAATTTACATTTGAATCGCTTCCATATTTTTGCAGCAGTTCTCTGACAAGTTGCATTCTGAATTCACAATGGCTCATTTTTACCTCATGTAAAATATTGTATATAATATTCGAATTATAAATTGCCATATCCAACAAATTGTCAGCAACTCTCTGGTACCAGCGGTAGTGTTTTCTTTGGATTTCGTAGGGCTTTATTATCTGGTCGCACCTATCAACTCCTCCCATGTTTTTGTTGTAGGTTACGACAACCTCTGGTTTCTTAATTGTTAAACCCGTTTTGTAGTCAATTTTTGCTGTCTCAATGAAGTTTATTCCAGGAATCGTACTTAACATTGAAACCACTTTCTTATCTTTCCAGAAAACTACCAATAGAGTGTCCGAATGAAAAGTTATAGTGGAATTGCGTGGAAGCTTATTCAACTTTAAACCCTTCGTATCTGGCATGTGTTTTCGATTTGTGCGAACAGTACCAACAACATTATTCTTTTTCCCATTAAGGTACACAAACAGTGATGGGGAACTGTACCAATTATCTACAAATAAGGTTCGGCCTTGACCACTCAAATCATCAAATAAATTTACCACTACCATGCCGGAAACTCCAATCAATTTATTTTTTTCGTTAGGATTTTTGCCTAAATAAATCGAGGCATTATATATGTAGCCGTTATCCGAATCGCAACATTTGTAAATTTTGATTCCAAAACGAGATCGTTTACTCAAAATGCATTGTTTAAAGGATAGTCGACCTTTAAACTTCAACAATGACTCATCAATACTTACCTTTTCTCCGGGTCTATAAGCTTCCTTAAATTTTTCAATTATTGTTTCAAAAAGAGGACGAATTTTGCGCAATTTGTCGTTTGATTCTGCTTCTTCTGAATAATGCAAGTAGTATCTACTTATCAACTCGAACCGTCTTATAGAGATATATTGACTGAAAACTGGGGTTGATAGTAACGGATCAGTCGACCAATACATTTTAAGGGATGGCTTTTTTATTATTCCCATCAAAATTAATAACGCATAATATTTGTACAATTCAGCAGGAATCAAATTTTTCCAAGTCCGAATTCTAGCCTTACTCTTAACATTATTTGATTCTTCTACTAAATTACGTTTCTCGTCACAATAAATATTTGACATAGAACAAATCATTTCCATCACATCAGAAGAATAAAAAAATTCGAAAATATCAATTGGTTTACTTTCTGCACTAAACATTAAGTTTAAATTAATTCCCGATTCAGAATCTGTAAACTCGTGGACTACAGGATTAAAATTATTATCTTTCGACCACACAAAATTTTTATTAAAATTTTGCAAACGTGTTTGTAAAGGGAAATCAGATTCGTCGCAAGACGATTCGCTCTCACTTTCAGAACTATTGTACTGAAGAGTAAAATCTTCATCGCTATCTGTATCAGCATTTTCGAAATCAGAAACATTAAAATCATTCATCGTGAAGTGTTATAAACGTTTCTAGTGCTAAACGTAAAATAATAATTATAGAGAATATTCGCAGAAAACAGAGAGACCGTATAGCAGGGAGTAAGACTAAGGAGACTGAACTGACTGTGTGAAGTCTCTCAAAAATGAAACCTTTTTCTGTGGGGGAACTATACTCGCAGAATGACAAAACTTATGCTCCGCGCGCATGCGCAGTACATGCGCATATTGCTCTCTCTCTTTATATCGTAAAATATAAGCAAGTGAGAGAACAAAAACTTATCAATAGGTTATGGTTATGTTTTGACATATGATTCTTGAAATAAAATTTCAAAATTATGGTTTGTTGCATACCAGGATGCAAAACATCATATTACAATGATCGACAAACGAATAAATTAACTTATTGATAACTTTTATGTGACATTTAAAGCTGTTTATTTATAAAGTATATAATTAAAGTAAATTACAAATTCGTAAATATTATTTATTTAGGAATTGTTCAATTGTTTCCACAAAGAATAAAACACTTTGTAGTTATATACCAAAAAAATTGATTCTGAACATTTATAAATATTTCATTATATTATTAATATATTACTTATCACTGAAAAATATACACTCTTTAGTATATATTTTTGAATGCACATTTATATTTATTAAATTAATTTTTTTTTCAATTTACTAATAGTTATTATTAATAATATTTCCTGAAACGCACAACATTCACAAATATTAAACATAACCTTCTCAACTTGTAGCTTATAATGATTTTCTCAGTCGCATCTGAGTTACTGAGAAAGACAGAGACAAATATATTGCATGTGCGCATGCGCGAAAACCATAATTTTCAGTCTTACGTATAGTTTCAATGCGACGAATGGTTTCACTTCCATAGCATTAGTTCAGTCTCCTTAGTCTTACTCCCTGCCGTATAGTTAGAGAGCATGCGCGTGCGCATTCAAGTGAAATGCTTCAGCGCAAAGTTATCATCCCCACCACACTTTCTGTGTGCAAGTGATTTTATTTATTTATTTATTTATTTATTTATTTATTTATTATATGAAATTTTTTAAAAATTCGTCGACTTCATATTCGTAATCAGCGACACCAAAAACCCCCGAGTAAGAAGTTTTAAATGAATCCGAAGAAATTTTTAAAAAATTGGCAGCCATATTGGATCCGCCATTTTGAATTTTGAAAAACGGACTTCATATTCGTAATCAGCGACCCCAAAAACCCCCGAGTAAGAAGTTTTAAATGAATCCGAAGAAATTTTTAAAAAATTGGCAGCCATATTGGATCCGCCATTTTGAATTTTGAAAAACGGACTTCATATTCGTAATCAGCGACCCCAAAAACCCCCGAGTAACGAGTTTCAAATGAATCCGAAGAAATTTTTTAAAAATTGGCAGTCATATTGGATTCGCCATTTTGAATTTTTGAAAATAAATTTTAAATTTGTAATCAGCGGACCCAAAAACCCCCGAGTAATAAATTTCTTGAGAATCCCATTGTGTTTGTAAGCAAAAAACTGATTTTTTTTGGTGAAAGTTGGAACGCCATTCGTAAAAAAAACATTAAAAATTGACTACTTTTAAACTCTTAATAAACAATTTAAAACTTCGAAAAAATAATTTTTTTTGTTATATTAGTGTTCTGTGATATCAAATAATAATAATATTTAGTTTTGGCAAGCTCAATTGGTTCACTGACTTTAGAAATCGAGTTTAAGTAGGAACGCCATTTTCGCTTTTTGTTGCCGCTTCTGTCACCTTCACACGGAACGCCAATTAAAACGCCATGCCGCCGAAGTGGTTAAGTTTTTGGGCCAGGTTTATTTTTGAAGTTTTTGGGTCAGGTATAGCCGAACGGTTTATCTAGAACTAAAAAACTTTATTTTTCAATCATAATATTTTTGCATTCTTATTACATGAGAAAGTATATTAGTTTTGGTCGAAAATTGATTTTCGCTAATTTTATGAAATCTTATGAAATTAACACAGTTGGGCTAGTCTGACCCTTTTTTACATATCAATTCTTAATCCTATGTTGTTGAAAATGGTTTTTTACATTCTCATCACATGAGAAAGTATTAGTTTTAGTCCAAAATTGACTTTTGCTAATTTTATGAAATCTTTACGCTTTGGGGTCCCCTGAACCCGAAAAACATGGTCCGGCGAGTCCGTCAGTCTGTGTGTCTGACTTTCAGTCTGTCTGTATGTATTTCCGTCTGTAGACCAAAATGTTGTAGACACGATAACTTTTGAAAATCTTATCTGATCGTTTTTAAATTTAACACGCTTAAAGTTAGTGTAAAAATGAAGGCTATGTTCGTAAACCAGCCATTTTCGTTGAAAACTACAAAAACTACAGTAGTTTCAAAATTTTGAAAACTCAATTTTTTCAAATTTCAAAATTTTTAACTTTATATTATTTTATATTAGGAAAATACAAACAACATTTCTCTATAACATTTTTTCATAAAAACTCAATTTTCGAAGTTATAGTCTCTTAAATGGTCAAAAAAACTAAAAAAATCCTAAAATATGACTGAAAATCGAATTTTTTTAAAGAAATAAAAGTCAGTCAATTGATTTTGACATATTTTCACCCTAAAATACTTAAAACATACTTGTACACAAAAAAGTCGTAATTTCCGGAAAAACCACTCTATATATATTTTTTTTTGTGCGCTTTTTTCACAAAAAATCAATATTCCGACTCCATTATTTCCGACATTATTGCATATGCGATTTTGCTACCAGAGACTTTTCTTCTCGGCTTTGTATCAGCTACAACTTTGCTGTTGACAACTTTTTGTCAAACCTTAAACTTTTCGAGTTATTTTAAAAACACTAATTTTTATTACATTCTCATCACATGAGAAAATATTAGTTTTGGTCGAAAATTGACTTTTGCTAAATTTATGAAATCTTTATGTTTTGGGGTCCCCTGAACCCGAAAAACATGGTCCGGCGAGTCCGTCTGTATGTGTGTCTGTCTGTCTGTCTGTATGTACGTATGTCCGTCTGTAGACCAAAATGTTGTTGACACAGGAGGAGTTTACACCGTAAGCCTTAAATATAAGCCTCCGCGCGCATAAACGGATATACCTCCAGGAGCATATATTTGCGCCTGCGCGAACACGTGGTCAAGGCAAACTCTTTCACAACACAGCTGCAGGTAAACACTTTGCGCAGACGCAAGTATATCCTCATGGAGGCATATCCGTTTATGCTCGCGGAGGCTTATATTTAAGGCTTACGGTGTAAACTCCTTCACAATAACTTTTGAAAATCTTATCTGATCGTTTTTAAATTTAACACGCTTAAAGTTGGTGTAAAAATGAAGGGTAAGTTCGTTAACCAGCCTTTTTTGTTGAAAACTACAAAAACTACAGTAGTTTCAAAATTTTGATAACCTAATTTTTTCAAATTTTAAAATTTTTAACTTTATATTATTTTATATTAGGAAAATACAAACAACTTTTTTTATAACATTTTTTCATAACATTGTTTTTTTTAAGTTTTTGGGCTAGACCACCTTAACTGTTTTATGAAGTTTTATTTATTTTCTGAAATGTTAAAACCTTTATAAAAATCTGTAGTTTACAACAGAATAAAGAGAACACTTTTAACCGTTTTTTTAAATTATTTTCTTTTTCATCAACAAAATATCACAACATGTTTTGTCAATATTCAGACAATATTGGTTTCTTCGTGCGGGGGGCTTGCAAGATTCATCGCGCCTCGGGGCGCGCGAAATATTGGTCGTCGCGCTTCGCTATCCGTGTATTGTTGCGCTCTTCGCGCGCAAATAGCTCGCAGTCGTCCGTGGAGATTGTGCATTACTTGCGTTCTTGATCCTTTTTCCTATTATATGTTTTATAAAACTTTTTTTTCTTTTTCCTACTATATGTTTTATCAAACTTTTTTTCTTACAGTTACTACAACTTTAAGGCTATGTCCAAGTTGTGAAATGTAAACAAACTAAAAGGTTACTATACCAGCAACTAAAATTTTTTTCTTTTTCCTACTATATGTTTTATCAAACATTTTTTCTTACAGTTACTACAACTTTAAGGCTATGTCCAAGTTGTGAAATGTAAACAAACCAAAAGGTTACTATACCAGCACTAAAATCGCAATTTTGCGACAGCCAATTCTCCCACAAAAAGTATCATTTTTACACTTTCTTTACGAAAATGGAAAATTAGAGTATCAAAGTTTCCAAAAAAATCATTTTTGACTATGAGCAATAAAAAGCAATTAGTAAAATAACTAATTAAAATGACCTGTAAAACAGCATTTTTGACGCGTCGCGAAAAATAAACTGTTTGAGTATATCAACCGCACGGATGATGAAGAAGTCTTATGTCAGCGATTGGACCTTCAACATGTGGAAAGGGAAATTTTTCCCTTTCCTCCTTGAAATTACAAGAGAAAGGGTAAAAACTTCTTCATCGTCCGTGCGGTTGATATAGTCAAACACTTTAATTTTTCGCAACCTGAGACCCTGTTGATCTCTGCGCCTGCGCAGACCGTACTAAGAATGCATTGACAGCACCATTCGAAAATGCACATTTTGTTTTCCACTGAAACTTAGTTATTTTCTAATTTTTTTCAGCTATGCAAGGTGTAGTAACCAAATTCGATACTTTAGTTCGCCATTTCCATAAGGAAAATGTGAATTTATATTTATTTACGCAAATGGGAACGGCGAAAGAATGCTTCACTATTCGGTCTATAATGAAGCATTTTTTCGCCGCTCCCATTAGCGTAAATAAATATAAATTCACATTTTCTTTTTGGAAATGGTGAACTAAAGTATCGAATTTGGTTACTAAACCTTGCATAACTGAAAGCATGAGAAAACCACTGAGTTTCAGTCAAAAACAAAATGTGCACTTCTACATGGTGCTGTCAATGCATTCTTAGTACGGTCTGCGCAGGCGCAGAGATCAACAGGGTCTCAGGTTGCGAAAAATTAAAGTTTTTGACTATATCAAC